TCTTTTTCTTTTTTTTTTTTTCTTTTTTGGAGAGGTTTTCGCTATAGGGTGCGTGCACTCGCCAGAAAGACAGAGAGAGACAGAGAGACAGAAAGCAAGAAATCAGCTCCCAGGGAGGGATGGCCATGCCACAGTCCCTTCTCCTTCATTCTCCTCAGGATCTTGGGCACGCACACACATGCGCCCAGCGTGATTTTAAGCCGCCGGGTCCGGAACTTGAACCGCAGTCAACTACATGGGAATCCAATGACATAGCCATTACACTAACTGCTGGGCCCAAGAAAGCTTTCTTTATCTCAGTCTCTCAGAACCACCTAAGTATCTCAGACCGTTTTCCCCATCAGCCCATTTCATGAATCTCTTTCTGTTTACTCAGTAGATTTTGTTAAATATATGTTTTTTAAATACAGTGCACAAAATGGTCATGGAAAAAGGGAGACTTATGTGTACATATCAATTGGAAGCTTCCCAATGAGAATCTTGCTACTTCTGCTTTCTTAGAGCGCTACATTGATAGTGGGCTAGGACAACATGTTAGAGATTGACTTTTGAGCATCCTGAAGTTTCAGCAGCAGCCATCCTTTCATTCCTCAATACACTCTGACACTGTCTCATTGCTCACTCTCCTGTTCCTTACCTTCTACACAGTACATTCTGTTTTATGCCTTAACTACTTTCTCTTTAGGCCTTTGCGTTGGTAATTTATCTAAAGCACCACATTTCCACATGTAACCTTCGAGTTACTGAGCCCTGTTTTCCTAAAGGTCTCTCTTCAAATGTCACCTTCCTTGCTGATCTTATGTAGAAACCCTCCAAAACGTCACCCCCATCTGCTGTCTCCTTTCTACATATTCTCATTTTCTTCTAAGCACAGATTCTTATTTGACGTGTCACATGTTATTTCTTTTTTGTTGTAATTTTTAAAGAGTGGAGGGCAAATCACTAGAATATACCCAGACAGGCCTACACAGGGAGCAGTTAACCAAGAAAGGAAGGCAGGAGGCACAGTGGTAGACAATGGGACACAATTATTTTTCTTTTTTGTTTTTTGTTTGGAGAGGTTTTTGCTATAGGGCGTGTGTGCTGGCCAGACAGACAGAGAGAGACAGAGAGACAGAAAATGAGAAATCACCCCCCAGGGGGATGGTCACGCCACAATCCCTTCTCCTCCATTCTCCTCTCAGGATCTTGGGCATGCACGCACACGCGCCCGGTGCAAGTTTTAAGCCACCAGGTCCGGGATGCGAACCACGGTCAACTACGTGGGAGTCCAGCGACATAGCCATTACGCTAACTGCTGATCCCTCCGAGTGCTTTTTTATTTACTATCATTCAGAAAAATCTTTTACCATTACATATTTTACCCCCTGCTATATTTATTGTACTTTGTATATTTCTTCTTGTGTATTATTGGTTTATTTCTTTTGTTCATTTTTCTCTGGGGGTATTCTATCTGTCAGGTATTTTGGCATTACAACATATTATTTCTTTTTCCTTAACATAATTTTTCCTGCTTTGTTATTTCTGGGCTTCAATAATATTTAACCAAGTTTGGCATACTTTCAGAATCAAGGAAGTTTTCTTTTTCTTTTTTTTTTTTTCTTTTTTGGAGAGGTTTTCGCTATAGGGTGCGTGCACTCGCCAGAAAGACAGAGAGAGACAGAGAGACAGAAAGCAAGAAATCAGCTCCCAGGGAGGGATGGCCATGCCACAGTCCCTTCTCCTTCATTCTCCTCAGGATCTTGGGCACGCACACACATGCGCCCAGCGTGATTTTAAGCCGCCGGGTCCGGAACTTGAACCGCAGTCAACTACATGGGAATCCAATGACATAGCCATTACACTAACTGCTGGGCCCAAGAAAGCTTTCTTTATCTCAGTCTCTCAGAACCACCTAAGTATCTCAGACCGTTTTCCCCATCAGCCCATTTCATGAATCTCTTTCTGTTTACTCAGTAGATTTTGTTAAATATATGTTTTTTAAATACAGTGCACAAAATGGTCATGGAAAAAGGGAGACTTATGTGTACATATCAATTGGAAGCTTCCCAATGAGAATCTTGCTACTTCTGCTTTCTTAGAGCGCTACATTGATAGTGGGCTAGGACAACATGTTAGAGATTGACTTTTGAGCATCCTGAAGTTTCAGCAGCAGCCATCCTTTCATTCCTCAATACACTCTGACACTGTCTCATTGCTCACTCTCCTGTTCCTTACCTTCTACACAGTACATTCTGTTTTATGCCTTAACTACTTTCTCTTTAGGCCTTTGCGTTGGTAATTTATCTAAAGCACCACATTTCCACATGTAACCTTCGAGTTACTGAGCCCTGTTTTCCTAAAGGTCTCTCTTCAAATGTCACCTTCCTTGCTGATCTTATGTAGAAACCCTCCAAAACGTCACCCCCATCTGCTGTCTCCTTTCTACATATTCTCATTTTCTTCTAAGCACAGATTCTTATTTGACGTGTCACATGTTATTTCTTTTTTGTTGTAATTTTTAAAGAGTTATTTCTCTAATTTTTATTTATTATTACTATTATTAAATTTGCTATAGGGCACATGCACTGACAAGAGAGAGAGAGCTAGAGAGAGCAGGAAAGCACAAAAACAAACCTTCGGGTCCAGACTCTAATAGAAGTCAGCCATGTGGGAGTCCAGAACCTGAACCACCATGCCACCTGCCAGCTCCTTTATTATAATTTTTCCTTGACTTCTAAGTGTAGTACCTGTTTGTGGGGGAGAGTGTAGTTTCTAAATACATATATATAATAATCAAATTAAGGGCAATAAACATATTCATCATCTCAAAAATGTATTATTGCTTCATACTGTGAACATTTAAATTTCCTTAAGTTATTTTGAAAAATACACTAAACTGTCAGCAACTAAAAATTGCTCAGGATTAGCAATTAGCATAATGGCTATGTCTCTGGACTCCCATGTAGTCAACTGCGGTTCCCATCCCAGACCCAGTGGCTTAAAACTCATGCCAGGTGTGTGTGCGTGCGTGTCCAAGATTCTGAGAGGACAATGGAGGTGGCGTGGCCATCCCCCAGGGGGTGATTTCTTGCTTTCTGTCTCTCTGTCTATCTGGTGAGCACATGCGCCCTATAGGAAAAACCTCTCTAAAAACTAAATAAATTTTAAAAATTGCTCTACACTGCTATAGAACCCTAGAACTCCTTTCAGGTAGATGCTTGCTCTCTTGTTTTTTTTTATTATTTCTTCATGAGTTCATTTCTTTTCCAACACTGAATATTAAATGCTTTAAGTTTTCATAAGACTATATGCATAATCCAAACAGTGACTGAACATGGTGGACACTCTATTTCACTCAAATGGATGGAAGAATTTCTCACTGAAATACATAATACAGACATCTTGGGTAAATTTGAGAATGGTAAGGGATTCTAAGGGTTATCCTAGGAGTCAGGGGTACATTAAAAAAAAAAGAAAAAAATACACAAAACACAAATTTCTTTTTAATATATATTTTGTAATGTTTTATACATTCAATCACTATAACATTATAGCATGCAAAATAAATTTTCCCGGCATGAATATATTGCATATTAGTCTAGTTAAAGATATTATCATAGGGACCAGCAGTTAGCCTAATGGCTATGTCGCTGAACTCCCATGAAGTCAACTGCGGTTCGAGTCCCGGACCCGGTGGCTTAAACTCACACCGGGCACATGTGCGTGCATGCCCAAGATCCTGAGAAGAGAATGGAGGAGAAGAGATTGCAGCGTTGCCATCCCCCACTGGGGTGTGATTTCTCACTTTCTGTCTCTCTGTCTCCCTCTGTCTTTCTGGCGAGCACACGTGCCCTATAGCAAAAACCTCTAAAAAAAGATATTATCATACACATTATATTCGACAGATAATTTTCCATTTTTGTGACCCTTAAATGTTTTCTTTCTTTTTCCCCTTGATTCTCTTCCTCTCACCCTTCTCCATTTCCCATCCTTCTGCCACATTGTCTCTAATATCCACAATTGTTCTTGATGCTTTCATACCTTTCAATCTTTCAGTTTCTGCCAGAGAGTGCATTCGGTATATATTGACTTGGAACATACAATGACTTTCTTTATTAGTCTGGTTTACTTTGCTTAGCACTAAATCTTCCATACTCATCCACTTTTTATCAGATGCAAGGGTCTTATTGCTTTGGATGACTGAGTAGTATGCTGTAGTGTATATGTGCCACACATTTTCAATCCATTCATAAGTTTGTGGACACTTAGGCCGATTCCATGTCTTAGAAATTGTGAATTAGGAAGAAAAAATAGAGGTAAAACATTTGTGGGACACAGAAATGGTTTTTACCTGTTGATGATGACGTGTATAGTATTCTCAACTAGAATGGTCTGAGGTGTATTTCATGTTGGATAAATTATCTTTACAAGCTAAATGAGGTATAGCAACTAAATGTATAATAATTATTATTAATAATAAAAGTAATTGTGAATAGTGCTGCAAAAACATGGATGTGCAAGTACTTTCTGACAGAGTATATTTGTATCCTTTGGGTAGCAGTAAAATTTACCTAGCAGTAAAATTGCTGGGTCATATGGCAGTTCTATTTGTAGGTCTTTGAGAAACCTCCACATTGTTATCCATAGTAACTGTACAAATTTACATTCCCACGAACAGCGTAGGAGAGTTACCTTTTCACCACCCCCTAACCAGCACTTATCATTAATTATTTCTTAAATCTTAGCCATTCTTACTGGGATTAGGTGGTATCTCATTGTGGTTTTGATTTGCATCTCTCTTATGATAAGGAATGTTCGTGGCTGTTCGTATGTCTTCCTTAAACTGTTGTCTTCAACTCATTTGTTCATCTTTCAATTGGGTTGATCAACTTTTTTTTCAGGTAAGCTGCTTGAGTTCACTTTATATTCTTGTTATCAATCCTTTATCTGAGACTTAGTCTGATAATTTTTTGAATACAAAATAAAAGTGGTAGTGCTTAAATTATGTGAAAATTGAGTGAAAATTGGTCATGTTTCTGTTCTTTCTGTTAGGAGTCATGTCCTCCAAATCAAACCAAGGAATATTACAAGAATTTCTGAATTTCTTCTGCTTGGACTTTCAGAGGAGCCAAAGTTGCAGCCCCTTATGTTTGGGCTTTTCCTCTCTATGTATCTGATCACTGTAGTTGGAAACCTGCTTATCATCCTGGCCACCATCACAGACTCCCACCTGCACACGCCCATGTACTTCTTCCTCTCTAACCTGTCGTTCGTAGACATCTGTTTCACCTCCACCACTGTCCCAAAGATGCTGCTGAATATACAGACACAGAGCAAAGCTATAACCTATGCAGGCTGCATCACCCAGATGTACTTTTTTCTATTCCTTGCAGTGTTGGACATTTTTCTGCTGACTGTGATGGCCTATGATCGGTACGTGGCCATCTGTCACCCCCTGCACTACACAGTCATTATGAACCCCTGGATTTGTGTGTTACTGGTTATGGTGTCCTGGCTCATGAGTGTCCTAAATTCTTTGTTGCAAAGCTTAATGGTGCTGTGGCTGTCCTTCTGTACACATGTGGAAATCCCCCACTTTTTCTGTGAACTCAATCAGGTGGTCCACCTTGCTTGTTCTGACACCTTTCTTAATGACATGGTGATCTATTTTACAGCTGTGCTGCTGGGTGGTGGCCCCCTCAGTGGGATCCTTTACTCTTACTCTAAGATAGTCTCTGCCATACGTGCAATCTCATCAGCCGAGGGAAAGTATAAAGCTTTTTCCACCTGTGCATCTCACCTCTCAGTTGTCTCCTTGTTTTATTGTACAAGCATGGGTGTGTACATTAGTTCTGCTGCTACCCACAACTCACAGTCAAGTGCAACAGCTTCAGTGTTATATGCTGTGGTCACACCCATGCTGAACCCGTTCATCTACAGTCTGAGGAATAAAGACATAAAAAGGGCTCTGAGAAGATTCTTTGGGAGGGAACCTATTAAAGGATCAACTGTACTGAGACTGAAGACATGCCCTCATTAGCAGGATTTAAATCATCAGAAGTGGAAATGATCTAAATCTGATTAGGCTATGGAAACAGAACTGTTTCTTCTGTTTATCTCCTGGAGCCTCCATGACATGATTTCAACTTCTTTATATAAGTTAAGTGTCTCATTTTATTGTTTTCTGATATGCTTGATATCAAGAAACATTTTTATTTATCCCATTTTTGTATTTTTGCAGGTTGATCTTACCCATTGCTCAGAAATACTTGGAAATTCTCATGCATTTCATGGAGCAAAATAGATTTCTTCCTTAAGACATAATTTCTTCCTTAAGACATATACTGAGTAATTTTTCTTTTCTTCTATTAAGAAAAATTACACATTATACTTTTGTTATGGAAACAAAATAAGGATTTTAACAACGAAGATCTTTATATAATTTTATGTCAGGAAAAAATCTGAGACCACAGTTTTTAAGTTTTGTGTCCACCATTAATTAGTATAGTACTATCTCAATTGTTCTTCCTTATCATATAAAATTAATATCAATTCATTTTATAACTTGCCATGGGTTATTCTTCTCTTTTTTATGAATTTTTAATTTATAGTTAATCATTGTATATCTTTACCCAGCATGAATATACTGCAATTAGTCAAGTTATAGATATTATCCTACAAATTATCATCAACAGATAACTTTTTATTTTTGACTGAAACAAAAATGAAAAGTTTATTCTTATCCTTAGGATCCTGTTTCTTCTTAAGCCCAGTGTCCACAATGTTTATATAGTCACTGGTAGAAACAGATTGTTTATATACATGACTCCAAGTGTAGTATAAATGGAAAAATAAATTTGAATAAATGATTTATGTTTGTATGGCCTTAGAGCAGAGATTAATTTAAATATTATACAGCAAATTTTAAACTGTATATCATATTACTATATAAAATATTTTTATTGTGTTTATCTACTTATTCAAGTATGGAAGATTTGTGTCCATGAATAATGAGGGATACTTATTGTGTGTAGTATGTGCTCATTTGTTTTCTTTCTTTTTTTTTTTTTTTTGTTTTTTTTTTTTGAGGGGTTTTTCTTGTTTTTTTTTTTTTGAGAGGTTTCTGCTATAGGGCACGTGTACTCACCAGAAAGACAGACAGACAGAAAGTGAGAAATCACCTCACAGGAGGTCTGGCCACACTGCAATCCCTTCTCCTTCATTCTCCTCTCAGGATCTTGGGTGTGTGCACACATGTGCCCAGTGTGAGTTTAAGCCACAGGGTCCAGGACTTGAACTGTGGTCAACTACATGGTAGTCTAGCAACATAGCCATTATGCCAACTGCTGGTCCCTGTTTTCTCTTTTATCTTCCTATTTCTGCTTGAAAATTTCAAGTGCTGACTACATGTGTGACCATCGTTTTAAATAAAACATCTTCCCTTTTACTAAACTTTGCCAGAATCATCAAGGGGCCATAAGAAAAATATCAACAGAATCTATTTTGTATATTCCTTTTAATCAAAAATCTTTTCAATCTTCATGATGAAAACATTCCTCACATGTAATCTTGAATTCCCATCTAGTCTTGTGATTCAGGGTGTCTTGTTTTCCTAAACAAAAAAGCTTATTTTTTCAACTTCTGGTTACTTGGAACAAAATTTCAGTACAGGTTACTCTTGTCAATCTTCTAAAATAAATTTGTATAATAGCAAATAATACAAATCAGAGATGAAATAAAGAAAATTGATATTAGAAGAACAATATAAGAAAATTCAACAAGGGCCAACTGGTGTTGTAGTGAAGGCACTTGGATCCCACATGGTCAACTACGATGTTTGAGAGGTGTGAAAAACACTCTGGGTGTGTGTGCCTATGTACCCAAAATTCTGAGAGAAGAATGGATTATGGCATTGTCATTTACTCCCCATGGGACATGTTTTCTTATGTCTCCCCTTCCCCCCTCCCCCCAATCTCACTCTGGTGAATACATGTACATTAAACAATTTTTTGAGAGGTTTTTGCTATAGGGCACATGCGCTCTCCAGAAAGACAGAGAGAGACAGAGATAAAGAAAGCAAGAAATTATCCCCGGGGGTGGGGGGGGGAATGGCCACTCTGCAATCCCTTCTTCTCCATTCTCCTCTTGGGATCTTGGGTACACACACACATGCCCCCAGCATGATTTCAAGCCACTGGGTCTGGGACTCGAACTGCGGTAGACTACATGGAGTCCAGCGACATAGCCATTATGCCAACTGCTGGTCCTACCCTAAACAATGTTTTGAAAAATGTTCAAAAAATAATCTTTTTTTTTTCAGTTTGCTATTGGGCATATGCACTTACTGGAAATAAACAGAGAAAGAAAGAGGAGAGAGAGAGAAAAAAAAAAAGAGAGAGACATAGGGAGAAAAAGCACCCTTCACAGGGTGGCCACTCTACAATCACTTCACCTCCGTTCTACTCTTGGGATTTTGGACAAGCATGTATATGCATCCAGAGTGCTTTTCTAGCTGCCAGGCCCAGGACTTGAACTGGGCAGTTGGTCACATGGGATCCAGCTTCCCCAACCACTATGCTACCAAATGGTCTAGAAGAATAGATTGTTAAAAAGATGAATTCAATAAACTTAGTGACCTGAGGAAAACAGAGAAGACCTAAATAAATAAAATCAGAGATATATAAAATACAAAGGATCTTAAATTATTATTTTGAGCAATTAATTACCAACACATTAAATAACATAGAAGAGAGGGATGAATGCAATCTATGAATATTATGTTATTATGGAGTTTCTAAGAAATCTACAAACAGAACTATCATACAACCCAGTTATTCCATTCTTAAGCATCTACCCAGAGTATAGAAAACCCTTCAACTGGAAAAACGCTTGCTCACCCACGTTTATTGCAACATTATTTACAATTGCTAGGACATGGAGTCAACCCAAATATCCAAAAATAAACAAGTGAATTTAAAAATTGTGACACATGTATTCCATAGATTAGTACTCAACCATAAAAAACAATGAGACCCTGTTTTCCAGCCAAACACCTACCTAGAAACCAACTACATCTGTGGTGGGCCTGGCCCTACTCCTTTAACTGAAGAGCCTCTGCTTTAATCTCTCCTTTAAGCCCATCACCTAGCCAGAATTCATCTTCATCTGAGGTGGCCCTGGCCCTACTCCTTCGATGGAAGAGCCTCTGCTCCAAACCTCTTCTTCAAGCCCAACACCTAACCAACTTCCACATACCTAGTATCTAGACAGGTCTAGGTACATGGGAGCCAAACATCTGAATATTTATGGGGCCATAGAAAACCCCAACTCCCACTGAAACTGCTACAGAAAGGGAGGAAACTCATCTTCATAAATCTGAACTGAAATCTCTTTCTGTGGATACCACATTGCAATACATAGCTGTGGAGAGAAATTGGCATAGAAATACTTCACAGAAGTGAAGCATACGAGATTACAGTTGCGAAAACCTCCAACAAAGTAGCCAAACTTGAATATACCACCAAATGACTAAAAGTCAGAGTAGAGAGAATGCAAAGTGAGCAGCAAGGAGAAATATGGAGCTGCAGAGAGAGCACAACTCATTTCCTCCCACACACCTCTGAATTCTCAGTTTAAACCCTGCAGCTCAGCCCATATGCACCTGTTATTTAGAAACTGGAGGCCTTTGTAATATCCATTTCCAACAACAAAAGTGCAGGTTCCTTAGTGAGCATCAGGGAAATTAAACTGCAGAGCTATTGTGAGTCATCTCCTTCAACATACCTCTAATGCTCAGAATTCACTCCAAGAAATTAGGATAAAAGTATAATCCATCAGATAACCAGAAACCATCACAGAGGCACAAGAAATATGAGAAGCCAAGAAAATATCTCTCCTTCAAGGGAAAAGAACAGTGCTTCATCACCCACAGGCTGTATAATGGAACTTGTAGAAATATCAGAGAATTTAGATTTTCATGGTGTCAAAACTAATTAAGATGCAAGAAAAGAAAGTAACAAATTCCAGAAGACAAGAGAAAAGAGATAATGAATTCCAGGAGATGAGAAAGTTATTCTATGATTTGAAAGAAGAAATACACACCACAAAAATTAATCAAACAGCTGATAGAGATGAAGGCTGTGATACGGGAAATAAAAAAACACCCTTGAAAGTATTAAAAGCAGATTAGTGTGGGAGGAGGATGGGACACGGCAGAGGGTGAGGAATAGGGAACCCAGGATGGCAAACAAACAAACAAAAAGAGCAAAATATACAGGAAATAAATGGAAAATTATTTGTTGATAACATGTATGTTGATGTACTTGATTGAGCCAATATACAGTGTATTCTGGATGGGAAATCTCATTTTGTATTCTGTACAGTGAATGAATGTAAATAAAAAAAAGAAAAGAAAAAAATTTAAAAGCAGGTTAGACCATGCAGAAGGTAAAATTTTGGATGTAGAAGACAAAACTTCTGTCCTATAAAAACAAACAAACAAAAAACACCAAAAATAATGGGAAAATAAATAACCCAAGAAATGAAAATAATATATGTGAAATACTATATATCATTAATTGCCCAAGCATCCAGATAACTGGTATTCCAGAAGGTGAAGAAACTAATAAGGGCATTGATCATTTATTCCATGAACTCCTGGAAGAAAACTTTCTAAACCTGGAGAGGCATTCAACTATACAGCCCCAAGAAATACAAAAGAGCACAAATAGAATCAAGCCAAGAAGATCTTCTCCAAAGCACATCATAGCCAAAGATTGGCCAAAACCACAGACAAAGAAAAGACACAAAATTTGGCAAGAGAGAAATGTCAGGTTACTTACAAAGGTTATCCCATCAGACTAATGTCAGACCCCCATTCATAAACAATGCTGGAAAGGAAAGAATGGGAAAATATATTCAAAGTGTTAAATGAAAACAATCTCAACAAAGAATACTATATCCAGCAAGGTTATTCTTCATATGGGAAGAAAATATAAAAACATTCTCATAAACAAACAACAACACTAGACGAAGTCTTTA